GGTGTTGTGGCTCACCCATAAGGGGGATGCGGTCATGCGCGAAAACAACCCGTACATGCACTTGTTCTAACCTTAAGGAATGCAGCACACCTTAAGTGGTGAACAGTGGTGGATGACTCGCGTTTCATTTCTGAGTTCCAGGTCGATTGCCAGTCAATTCAAGTGGAATTTGTTTGGGTAATGAGGAAGCAAGGTTTTCTTCGGGTTCTCATAGCTCTTTGGACTATTTTCATAACATATTCATTTTCATATAGGAAACGAATTGCTTGAAAAAAAAAGAAGAAAAAAAAACTATATACAAAGAATTTTGGAAGATATACGTTGGAGAGACTCCAAGATGTTTAATGCTAATCGTGTACGCCGAAGACCAGAGTCTCGTCACTAACTTGGACACGCGTAGAGAGGCGTCAACTATGTCCTAAAATTTTTAGTTTATAATAATTCTGCTCGCGGCGCCATTCCGCTGGCGGGTCATTTTGCCGCTTTACCGTTAGCGCTGCTATCGGAGCCAATGGCTTTGGTATTACGTTGACTACGTATACTGAGACATTGCAAGGAAAACGCACACTATAATCCTGCCTCACCGGAAATGGAATCCGGGGCCGCATAGTGGAAAGCGAGCGCGCTGACCGCCAGCTGGCCCCGAGGCCGGACATCGTTCGTTACTTTAGGCAAATTGATAGATATTACTCATAATCGCTTGATTAATTATTTCGACTATAACTTATTCATAGAAACTCAGCCAGTGAGAATCGATGGACGAATAAGTAAAATTGCCAGAAAACGATATTCATTCTCGATAATCTCAAAGCACTGTTGAAACAATTTCATGAAATATTACGCAAATTGGCCAATTCGAGGCAATGCACTCGCTCAGAATATTTCGAAACACTGTTTCGGTTTCCTTATTCACAAGGCCTATTATGTAGGAATCACTGAAAGTATTATAGAACCCTTCCCCCTCTAGAAATTATCGCTCATATTGCAAGGTGATGGGGCAAGTGGGGTAAGGGGATACCATTGTCATATGTTTTATTTCGTATTTCGCTCAGCGCACATCATTATCAATAGAGTATGTTTCATTTTCGTGTTTTACCTTCATCATCATATCGCTAGAGGGACTATATTGATGCGGGATTTTGGAGTGTCAGCAATAACTTGACGAGTTGTGGAATTTCCACCAGAGTTACCAAGGGTGGAACCGATGAGATGGGTCCACTTTTTCTTGAGGAGTGAAGGGTATTTTAAGAGAGTTAGACGAACGCATAAAATGCTTAAACTTTACGCTCTTTTGATGAACAATTCCCAGTGTATACGTTTAAGTTGAATGGTCGTCGCTGGGCGACAGGGTTCACTGTCTATGGTGAATTTTCTGATAATATTGGCGCGGCACACGTAGGGATTAACATTATTTCTGTTTTTACTTTCTGGCACACTGGTTACATAGTATAGTGAAAGTTCTAAAAGCAAAAAGTTATGATATTTAAACAGAAAAACTAGAATTGTGTGTGTCTGATACCGAAAAATTGTATAATTTTTACTCTATTGTGCAGTAAATTACTTGATCTAATATGGAAAATTGTTGTTAGTCAATTTCATTCAGCAAAGCAATTTTTAGGCACATAGGTGGCAAAATTGATTCAAATTGTCATGCTCTGAGCTCATTCAGTTTTGCTTCTCTTTGAGGTATTTAAGGAGAAAGATTGACATTTCAAACTTCCCGTGTCCAAAATCCCACGAATTTTCTCACAAGCAGCAAAAAATTAATTTTGTAAATAAACTCTTTGAAATAAACCTTCAAAATACTTCGAAATGTGACCGGTGGTTCGCACCACCTCCTGGGCAGCCGGCGGAAAGCTCTGAACATAGTAAAAATTTCCTGGAAGGCAGTTTTTTTTACACAAGACGCGACGAGATCGCATTGTTTGATAATCTGGAGCCGCGGGCAATTGTAGAGAAGCTACGTAATATGCGTATTGGGCGCATTGAAAGTGGTACGTTGGCAAGCAACTCCAGTATGCAGTCTCCATGTCCCGCGCTCTGACATACGGCATGACGGAGAAAGCAATTAATGACGAATAGAATTCGTAAGGAGAACGTTTATTTTCGTCCAGACAAAAGTAACCATGACAATTTCGTCAATACTTAATAATTCTTACGGCAAGGTGTTAATCTTGTCAATTATGTGTCGTCTTTTCCGACCCTTCTCGTCAGACGAGAACACAGAGAGGTAATGCACAGAACGTCTCGCCGCAGTATCTGAAAATGCTCTTCCATTCATCTACGCAATATTTCGCAGCCTCAACACCATTTTCTCTGTCTGTGCGACCATGTGTGGACGGCACTAGCGCCAAAACTGGTCATAAGATTTTCTTCAGAAGTAATTTCC